CTCACAAACCTTATGTGCTGTAGACTTTCTTTCATCCTGGCATGCATATTGTACAGCTACTCCCCCTTTTCGTGGCACAATGAAGGCTCAATCTGCTCTGTAGCGCAATGAGTTTTAACCTTGAATCTGGTTTGTTTCTTTGTTAATGTTTCAGGCGATAGGTACCTGAAACTCACTCTTCAGTAACCAGGAGTCCCATGCCTTGCAGCGCACTTATGCATCCTGATTATATTCCCATTTATGTGTGGGTGTGGTGAGCCGGCCGGCTGGCTGCACGCATGCTTTGTTTCTTGATGCAGTGAGAAATGATTTATAGGCTTCAACCTGATCCCTTTCCCAAAAGCAAGCCAATAAAGCGAGTCCGGGCTGATAAAAATACTTTTGAACTTTCTCATCCTTTCCGTCTTGCTCACTTGTTTTTATTTGTTTCCTTTTCAATTTGTGTAAGCGTCTGGCGTTCTCAGTAGCAGCTGGTAATCCACTTCAAGCTCCGCTACGAGGAGTGTCCCATGTGCCCATATAAGGACAAACCCACTTGTGTGCTTGACAGAAGTGAGTTTAAGGCGCTCATCCGATCTGCTGCCTGGCTGCACTCTAACCTGCAGCCTGCTCTGGAAATTATTACTGTAGCCCTCACTTCATGCACAAACACAGTAACGCCCCGACCTCTCACTTATACTCGTGCACGTGGACTCACACTTGTTCAAAAAGTATACAAGCTCCTTTGTTTGTGTCAGGAAACATGTCATAGTTCACAATGTGTTAAGCAGAGAAACAGCATGAGGCGCAGGAACAACCATCAATAGTCAAAAGGTCAGGGCTCGGCCTGTTGTGCGGCCAGACAGGACTGGGTGGGTGTGTCAAGGTAGAAGTTGTCCACACACTGCTGTTTGACCTGACCTTTGTAAAGCAAACAACACAACTGGAGAAACATGCATAGTCTGTTGGGTTTGGAATTGGAAATTGTGCCTTTTTTCTTTCTACAAAATCCGAAGTCCTTTTTTAAATAAGTGTATTCAAATACAAAAATATCATCAGTAAGTAAACATGAGCCCGGATTTTCCCTGCCAACCTTCAGTATTTGACAGTTTTAGATTATCTGTTTTGTGGTACCAAAAAGTACGTGTTACAGGATACAGCTCAATGAGCTTGTTCTACAGAGACATATCTAAACTGAAACAGAGCTTGGATATCATAAGTGATGTATTAATAGATACTGTTTTATTTGCAGGGATAAACATTCCAAGTAAAAGAGAGGGGTGTGTAATTAAGACAAATCTGAACGTGTACATTTTCTTTTTATTTGCACAGTAATTTAGTGGTCTGCTTCTCTTCACTTCCACAGGGTTATCATAATCCTGGTGCAGTGCTGCACCCGCAGGTAGTTGTTCCAGCATGTGTGTTTAGCTCAGCTATAGATGGCAGACCCACTAAATGGTAGTTTAGTCAATTCAAACCACCTGAATAACCTTGAGTTTTTGCCATATTTGACCACTTCTCTCTCTGTTTCCATGTGTGTCCCAATAAATTCAACTTAAATGATAATATTTCAATCTGTGTCATGTGTAGCAGATGAGTTCAGAGGGTGTTGCTGTGTTTTAGGAGTGTCCCACCAGCTGGTTGGGATTACTGCTAAACCATGAACTCTCTAATTGGCTGTGATGGATTGAGCTGCTTCTGTCGAAAGTCTTGGATATAGGCTTGAGGTTTTGACTCCATACAGAGCTGCTGCTCGGCAGGAAGTGACTCAAGGCGACCAGCAGTGCATTACAAGCCTTAGCAAGCCCACGTATGAAACATTAAAAACAATTTGGTGTCCTCACCACTCCACAATTTCTGCTAAAAAACGTAATAATTGTCGATGAGTAAAAGGATTTGGGAAGACTCATTCGTAAGCATCGCCTGGTAGAAGTTTCTACAGGATTGTATTTCCTCTCCTCCCCCGTTCACACCACCTTCATCCTGCTCCTATCTTTTGTATATCAGAGTTCGAGGCAGACAGGTGTGGCAGCAGCTTCCTCACAGTCGATGATGAGTCTTCAGTTGGCAGAGCAGACAGGTCCTCCCCGCCCGACGTCGTAAAAGGTGCGGATAGCTCGGTGACGTCTAAATGACGGCATTGATTTCACGAAATAGGTGTGACCTATTTTGAAAAGTGTTATTTCTGACTCGTACGTTAGCAGTAGGAACATGAAAAGCTTCCCGGCTCTAACGGCTGCTCTCCTCTGGGTCACAGTGCGGTTTTTGTTTTGAGCCACAGTGACCGTTGGGCTGTGGTCAGGTTTGAAAAATGCCTTTGGGAACTGTCAATGTTGTAAGGTGCTGTCACTGTGTCCCCCCTCCCTTTTCTACTCCCACTGACACAGTAGAGTCCACTGTCATGTGGAGGACTCTGTGTGTTTGCGTGTCTGGTTCTTTAACAGTCATTCTGTTTTCTTTGGCAGGCGCCCAAGTTTAAGGTGTGTTTTATTTGCTTGAGAAAATGCCCACTCGTTGCCCTCCTGTGCAGGACAGTTATCAGGTCAACTTCTTTTTCCTATTTTCCTCTTTTCAATTATGTAAAGGAAAAGTCAGTTACAGTTGCTGGTGGATTTGTGACAGTTGAATCTAGTGTACACATATTTCAACCAATCCAAACACAGTCCATGTGCAGCCGTCTGTGCACTGATTGGTCCGTTTGAAATATCATGTGTTAGAGCAGGTCAAAGCATAGGGGTAAAGGTCAATGTGCTGACCTGCGCATGTTTTTCATCTGTATTTTTCATCCATTTTTTTTTTTATTTTGTCCTCTTTACTTTGCTTTGACGTTTGAACTCTAAGCAGAAGTTATTATTTTTTAGTAGAGGCCTGAGCCCAAGGCCTTTCTGTATCTCAAAGATAAAATAAATAGAATAAATAAATCAGTCGGTCCTAAAACTTGGCAGTGTACTGGTTGTATAATCATATTATGACAATCCTTCAGGTGTGTGTGTGTGTGTGTGTGTGTGTGTGTGTGTGTGTGTGTGTGTGTGTGTGTGTGTGTGTGTGTGTGTGTGTGTGTGTGTGTGTGTGTGTGTGTGTGTGTGTGTGTGTGTGTGTGTGTGTGTGTGTGTGTGTGTGTGTGTGTGTGTGTGTGTGTGTGTGTGTGTGTGTGTGTGTGTGTGTGTGTGTGTGTGTGTGGTGTGTGTGTGTGTGTGTGTGTGTGTGTGTGTGTGTGTGTGTGTGTGTGTGTGTGTGTGTGTGTGTGTGTGTGTGTGTGTGTGTGTGTGTGTGTGTGTGTGTGTGTGTGTGTGTTCTTCAGATTTCACTCACATCTCTTTCCGTGTGAGTCAGCAGGAATGTGAGGAATGACCCATTTGAGGCCATTTCCCACCCAGCTCTCATCTGCCCATTTATAGGCATGCTTGAGTCCAGCTTCTTTCAGTTTTCTCTCTTTGTCATCCTTTCTCCCTCTCGGCTTTACTTTCCCATCTCTCCCGTTCTCTTCCTTTCTCATATTCTTTCTTCCTGCCTTTTCTGAGCAAGTTCTCCTCTTACCCGTTATGTTCAGCCGGCTCAGCAGTTTGGATTTCCACAAATTATAGCATATAGGCGAGCCCCTCTGAGCGAGTGCATCTCGGCTGCATATTTTGTCAAACCACAGCGAGACCTCAAAACCATGGGCCCTCTTCATCTCTCGTTAGACCCCCACCCCTCCTCTCAATCCCAGCAGGGGTGAGGGGCACATCAACCCCCTTTTTAAACCCACAGCTCCCTGTAGTAAAACACCCGTTGGCATGCAAAGGTTAGTGTCTCCACTGTGCAGGTTTTAACTGGTACAGCAGGAAGCCTTATGAAGCCTGCCAGAGGAGCAGGAGCCGCTCATCTCTGCATGTGTTGACAGGCTCCCATTGTCGACCAAAAGAGAGATCTGTCTCTCATCTGACAGGAGAGGGCTCCCTCTACCCTCCCATGCTAGCGGCTGTCGCTCACATGAAAGCATTGAGCCAGCTGACTGCTGTGTCTGTCTGCAGGCATGCTCAACACACACTCACACCTTCATTACTCCTCTTTTGCTTGAAAAAATAAACCCCTTAACTAATAGCCACTCGGAGTGATGACATGGCTCTGAGTGTCAATATTTAGGGCCTCCTGCTGCCTGGCTACTGTCTAACCAAGATGAGTTACAGCCAGAGAAGAAGAAACCTGGGCGATACGTCGACCTGGAGAGCTGAACACTTATAACACTTCTTGCTGAGCCTGTTTCTCTTCCCCAGTGTTGTTCTGTCTTTTCACATTAGTGCAGTCCGATCACTTGTCATCACCAATCAATAAGCCCTACTTCAGTGCTGCTGACCCTGTTAGACATTTAAAACTAAGCCAGGGACATTTAGTCTGATACTGTCTGGACATCATACACCAGAGAATACTAAGTAAGAGATAATGTGTAGCTAGCCGTTCATCATTGTAAAATGAGCCTGTGTTTGGAATCAGCTTCAAGAGGTTTCTTTTTCATTAACCAATCTTTAAACACTGCCATTATTGCATGTTTATTGCATCCAATAGTTTCATTCAGTTAACAGACCAGCATTGCTATTCCTAAAGCCAAACTACTTCTTCGGCTAGATCACAAAACTTTGCAGGCTACTCTAGACATCTGTGTGTGAGGGCAGTTTGGCTTTCGGTCGGCCCCTTCTTGTAAACAAACACGTTATTGTCCTTGTTTGACAATGATAATTAAAGAGGGCAAGAAAAGGCGACTGTAAGAAGTTGGAGCTTTGACTTTGAGCCCTACAGTTCTGTGTATTCACCGCCCTACTTACACTGAGAACAGGCCTGTGACCCTTCACTGTAGCAGTGGATTCTTATAAAACGGTGTGGAGCTTTTCCTTATTACTCACTTATATATGCAAATATAAGAGCGGCGAGTAGCTAATCTTATCAAGCCACATGTTTGGCATGCTCCTGTATATGAGCACACTTTTCAAAACATTTGCATTTGTCTTCATGGCTTTCTTTTGTTTATCTTTCTTATGTTGCAGCTGGATGAAACCGTGGATCTGGACGAGAGGCGCGTCATCCGTTCAGCCATCCGGGAGTTGAGGAGGAGGGAGATCGAGGACATGGAGGCCGCTCTGGCCAGCAAGAGGTTTCGACCCACACGCATCATCCAGCAGGAGGACAAGGAGAACCAGCATAGGTAAGACCACACACACACACACACACACACACACACACACACACACACACACACACACACACACACACACACTCCTGCAACACACACGCACACACACTTACAGAGACCTGTCCTAATGACTAACTGCACTAGGCCAGGTGAACTGGGGATGCTGAGAAAACACTCGAAAAACCCAGATGCAGCATTCCTCAATTTCCAGTCAGCAAATCATATGGGACAGCAAACTGCAACCAGAGTACATTTTCCATTTTCCAGTTTGAACGCACATTTCACGGTAAATACTTTCCCTTTTAAGTACGTGTCCTGAAGTTACATGAACTCTTATGAGAGTCAGATTGAAGGAGTTTTCTGAGCTCATCCATTTGTCTTTATTGATTTACTTTAATCCAGTTACACACAAGTCTCATCTCCTGTCATTCAGCTGAGCAATGGGAATAATGGATTACTCGGATAGAGTGACACCTTGGCCAGAAAACGTTTTTTATTGACAAACTAGCAAACTGAATGAGAAACAACAAGATAAACATGATTTAGTTATTATAGAAAAACGTCTTGATTGTACTGTAAATTGGGATTGTCTGTATTTTAAAGAGGTTCAGACAAATGTATATATTCAACAAACCTTTTCTACTTTCTTTTTGAAAGACATTTCTTTGTCGTTTTCTATAGCCAAATTGAAACCTAGGCCACTGTATTAGGCCGAGGGAGCTCCCTGGGTTCACTCCATTGTTTTCCTAGTTAAAACAGGGATAAAGTAATTATTCAAATAATTTGGGGAGATTAATTTAATTTGGGATGATAAATACCATCTGGGCAAAGGTTCAACAACTGATTGGCTTCAATTTCCAATGTTTAAAATGTGAATCTCCTTATGAGAAGGGTTGAAATTGTAATACCATTAGCTATTGGCAAAACACATACCAAATCTCAACAAAATGACATTACATTCTGAAAATGAAAAAACACTTTTTATATCCTTAAACCATTGTTTAATCTTTGATGCTTTTTGTTCTGTGTCTGAGATGAGCTCTACAGGTCAGGATTAACTAAGTCTTTCAAAAGGTGTTGATTAAGGTCTGGTAGTGCTAGATTGTGAAGTAATGCTATTGGATGTAAAGAGGATTCTCGGCCTGCTGCTGTCTCTTTCACTGATTTCTACCAGCTGCCGGTCCTAATCAATTCCATTCCCTCTCAGAAGACTTGAATTGCAAGAATAAAGCCTTATAAAGAAAGCATACCTACTGTACCACATTCTTGCATGTGTTAAGACACACACAACCACATGCACACACACAAACCTGTCTGAAAGTTGCATTATCCCGTGCCTCTCGGTTGGAGGAATGTGAAAAATTCCTCTCTGTTGTCCCACACATCCTTTATTACCAACAACTGGAGGAAAAGGAGGATGATGAGAGGAGCGTATGAGTAATAGAAAGCAACATAAAACTGAGCAATATGAGGCTGACAATAGGGGAGGATGAGGCCAGCCTTAGTCACGCACTGTGTCACTGCTGTCAAATCACTTTTTCCACGCTTGATATGGTTTCTTCTGATGTGTTTCCTCTCGTTGTGTGTGTTTGTGTAATCTTGAAATTGTCTACTGCTGCCTTTCACATGCTCAGGGGACTCAGGAAAGAGTCGGTGAAAGCCACAATTTGTTTTGGGACATTTTAAGATCCCATGATATCCCAGTGTGTTACTTGCTGCATGAGCTTCAGTTGATGGTCAGTCACATCTCTGTGTCTTCTCCTCTAACCTGATTTCAGCGACAACTTGAACGTCCTGTCAAAAAAATTACAATCAATCCAGGACATTGATGAGCTCACCAAAATGGTGAGTGTAAACCGGCCAAAAATCTTAAAAGATGGTGACATTGCATGCTTGTACTCATTGAAATGTAATGTGTGTGTTTTGCCTGAAGCTCCGAACCGCCAGCGAGTACGAGGAGAGGAAGTTGATCAGAGCAACCATCCGACAAATCAGAGATGAACAGCAGCAAGGTGAGACCAGCTGTTGGATGAAATGGAGTCAAGCTGTTGTAGTTTCTATTTTAAATATTTAGGATTATATTTTTTACTGATTTAGAATAAACTCGATAGCGGTGGTTGAATCGAAAACATAAAATGATGATGGATTTTGTCACTGTTGTCTGGTAGTTCACACAATTAACTGATGAGTCTCAAGATGGTGTTTTAAAGATCCAGTTAAAATATGTCACACTAAAACATACATACTTCGGCTATGTTCTGGGTGATGGAAATCGTGCAACGTATATCAGACCTAAAGGGCATTCATTTAGCACACTTTGTGTTGGAAACCACTGCTTCAATCTTTAAAAGTTAACATTTTTGCACCTAAAAAAAAGTCCCCCAAATGGCCTGATGAGGGCGCTGACATTACAGGTAAAGGATCAGCTGTGAACTCCTTCACTGCTAGTTTCATTTTATAGTAATACTTTTTTAACACTGGTGGGATAATGCAGCATAAAACAAGTGGGAGAGATAGCGGGCTGTCTGTGGTCGTCATGGTTTCTGTGGCAGATCTACCTGGATCAGATAGTGGATTCCTGTCATTCCTTAGCGCTGTCTGGGTTATGTGAGGCTCCATCACTGTGAGTCAGGACTCCTCAGATAATCTCTCTGTCTCGGTCACCTCCCCTGTGTCCCATCTGGGTTTTCTCTTCTCCTACAATTAGCAAATTACTATAGTTTATCTTTCAATTTCCAAGTTTGTTTTTTAACAAACATACACAATTGCCATATTTACATACTTTTTCGTCTTCAAATAATGAAACACTTCTAGTATCCCAGCGTACACATACAGGTCATTGTACAAACATAACACAGAAAGAATTGACGAGATCAAAACAATATCTACAGCAGACAAAACTAATTAATGAAACAAATTGTAAAGGAGGAAAAACAAACCCTGCATAGTCATAAATAATAACAATTAATGGGAGAGACAAATAAATGAAGATAACTATGTACGATGGTTTAGGGGACTTGGCCTTGATACTATTAAATTAAGTATATACTAAACACTACATTGTTGTAGTTGCAGAGGCATAACAGGCATCCATCCCTTTTTTTAAATGTTGATTTCTGAAGCCTTAAGGCATATGAGATAGCTTTTCTTTCCATTTGGTACAGCTTTCAGGGTCCAGTCGTTATATGTGCGGTGTTCAGGTTTTTACCATCTACAGTAAACGTAGTGCACTTGATGGCTGCCACTAATAGGATTTGTAGTAAATATGCTTTATCTCTGCCAGCAACCCCTTCCAGGAGAACGAGCAAAGGACCAGAGTTTTGACATGGGATAATATACTTCACTCAGTCATTGTACTCCTGCTGTTTGTGTGTTTTTAGGGTCTGCAGAGCGGGTCAAAGCTCCGGGTCGCTGCCAGGAGTCTGAGAGTGTGGAGCCCCAGAGCACCATGGGAACTGTGGTGAGTACAGCAGAGTCATTGATGTGAGGAGAAATTATTAAATATCCTGCCTTATCCTGAATATTAGTCTAAAAGTCACGTTGGTAGTGATGGCTACACTGTCTCTAGTCTCACACTCACTCGTGTCAGCTTCCATTCGCAAAAATGAACCCACCACAGACCAATTTGCGGTTGTAAGAGTTTGTTTGCATGGCAACAGAGACCGCTGAGGTTTCTGTGCTGCCACAACGAAGAATGCAACAACAGGCATTGTGAATTGAGGCACACACACACACTGTCATGAATGTGGCTACACACACACACACGCACGCACATATACATATACATATACATATATATACACACACACACACACACACACATACACACATGCTTCGGCTGCCAAGGAGCAAAGAATGTGCTTTTGTTTCTTAACGTCCTAATTCAGATTTGGCCAAGAATGAGGAGAAAGACAAAACGTACTTCGAGCCTGTCAAAAACGATTTACTGCCTTCACTTAACACCCGGCTTAGTCTACCAGAACCTGTCATTTTGCACACATCTCTCTGTACAGGCTTTAGCCCTCAGACAGCTGCTTACTGAAATGTAGAGTTTTGAGGGAGAATTCAAAGGATTTAAAGACTTCTAATTTAATTTGATCTGATTTGATAACCCACTTTTGATCATGTGTTTCTGAATCCCTCTTCAGCCTTCTAGTGGATGATAATGAACTGTGTTTTCAGAGCGGAGCTAAAGCTTTATCTCTTCTAGCGTAACAGATTGAATTATAAGGTTGATGCCGCAAACATGATGAGAAGACGTGAGGCTTAGCAGTTTGAGAGTTTGCCAGGAGCCAGATGTTATCTTATCTGTTGTGTTTGATCACAGTTTTCTGATGAATGCTCCTTTTCCAGTGTTTGAGATTTCTGTGAAGAACAACAAAGTTCATTCTTACTGTATGTGGTCACTGTTGTTGCAACTCAAGCCTTTTGAGCTAAGGGGGCTGGAGGAACACATATCATCTCTTGTAAGGAAAACACAATCAGTTGCATTATCTGAGTTTTAGTGGTTCGTGTGAAGGCACCCTGACGTAAAGGGTAGAAATGAAAGGCTGTTAGTATCCGTCTGAGTGTGCGTTCGTGTGTGTATTCTATGCAGATTGGACACAATGACAGTATTCTGACGTCACAGGATGCTGTGACGTTCAAGCCCTGTTACCTCATTTCCTGTGAGATAGCAGCGCTGTGTGGCAGAGGAATTGAGAGCTCCAGGTGGTGTGATGCATCACTTTGGAGGGCTACGACTATACGATAATATTAAGACATGATGTAAGGGAACAAACATTTAACCAAACATCACAATCACTGAAGAGAGAAACATGCTCAAGACCCTCTCACGTACATTAGATTGACTGGTGCACAAAGGAATGCTTCAGTCTGACCTTATTAAATCGTGGAACCTGTATCTCCGATGTTAAGGTAACAATCCATATTCGCTGTTCAGGTCATGGTTGGGGTCAAAGATGATGTTGGTCAGCCTCAATATGTTATACACCGAACAAAAATATAAACGCAACACTTTTGTTTTTGCTCCCATTTTTCATGAGATGAACTCAAAGATCTAAAACATTTTCTATAAACACAAAATAACCATTTCTCTCAAATATTGTTCACAAATCTGAAAAAATCTGTGATAGTGAGCACTTCTCCTTTGCCGAGATAATCCATCCCACCTCACAGGTGTGGCATATCAAGATGCTGATTAGACAGCATGATTATTGCACAGGTGTGCCTTAGGCTGGCCACAATAAAAGGCCACTCTGAAACGTGCAGTTTTGCTTTATTGGGGGGGTCTGGGGTGGGGTCCGAAAACCAGTCAGTATCTGGTGTGAGGGGTAGGGTTAGGGTAATGTTGTGAATCGAGTGGCCTGTGTTCGTCATCCATAACATACGCCTGCCCATACCATAACCCCACCACCACCATGGGCCACTCGATTCACAACATTACCCTAACCCTACCCCTACCCCTCACACCAGATACTGACTGGTTTTCGGACCCCCCCAGACCCTTCCAATAAAGCAAAACTGCACGTTTCAGAGTGGCCTTTTATTGTGGCCAGCCTAAGGCACACCTGTGCAATAATCATGCTGTCTAATCAGCATCTTGATATGCCACACCTGTGAGGTGGGATGGATTATCTCGGCAAAGGAGAAGTGCTCACTATCACAGATTTTTTCAGATTTGTGAACAATATTTGAGAGAAATGGTTATTTTGTGTATATAGAAAATGTTTAAGATCTTTGAGTTCATCTCATGAAAAATGGGAGCAAAAACAAAAGTGTTGCGTTTATATTTTTGTTCAGTCTAGTAGGTTGATTCATGGAGTCTCTGAAAAGGTTGACCTACAATCTTTGAGCGGATTTTCAGCTTGTAGTATTGCAATACTGAAGAACACTCAGAATCACAATACTACATGTATCAACACGGCTGAGTTCAGACGGACGGACGGACAGACGGACATACAGACCGACCACCAGCTGTGCCTCAGAAGCCTATAGTCTGGCTGGAATGGGGACGTGTCCAAAAACAACACGCAGCAGCAGCAGGACTCCTTCCCTCACATCACAGCAACGGATCTCTTTGAGCTGCGTGCGATTGTCCCGTGGCAGATGGAGGTCCTAGATAGGCCTCCGCTGCAGCCATCTCACACACGCAATATGTGCACACCGGCGGCAGCTTGAAACATACACCAGCTCAACAACTCGAGACACAAAAACTTAAGGTGGAAAATCTTAGGAGTTCATGTCTGTTTATTTAGTGGGTTTTCTTTTATTTTGGTTTTTAGATTGAGATTTGTGTGTGCATACATACAGCATTGTGTATTTTTAAATAAAGAATTAGAAATATTAAATAGAGATTTAATGGAAAAATAAAAACAGTCGTAAATTTGACTTTAATGTATATGCAAATTGACCAGAATCCAACACCTTTTAGAAGCTAATGACTCTATTTAATAGCCATGTTTTAATGGCAGGCAAGGATAGCTGACGTACAGTAAAAAGTTTCCTTCAGCTCATTGTAGGATATGAGAGAACTTATACTGTAAGAGCTTGTAAAATGTTGTAATTATATGTATGTAGTACAAAAAAGTGCCAGTAGGAAAAAGGATAAAGAAGTGCAACATATTCAATGATTTACAGGAGGTACTGTTACAGTAAAATATCTCATCTGGTCTCAAGTATATTAGCAGTTAGAGAAATGAAAATATAGGACAAAAATGTGTGTTAATGTGTGTGCGGTGTGTCACAGAAGTTAATGTGTCAACCAGGCACCCTTTAACCTGTAAGAAAAGTGTGTGTGTGGTGGGGGTCAGATCACTTTGGAGACAGACTGGGAGAGAGGGGAAGTCAAGGGAGTGGCTTGTTGGTACTATGTGTGTGAGTGGTGTTAGTGGTGGTGTTTGTGTGTGTATGATGTGGCTGAGGGAGTAGAGCGTCAGAGTAGCGGACGTCCTGACTCAAGAGGGGTTCTGCTGAGAGAGAGAGGGAGAGGGAGAGAGAGAGAGGCAGAGAGAGAGAGAGAGAGGCAGTCGGGTCAGAGAGGAAAAGGTAAATGTCATTCAGATTTTCTCTGCTGTTGCTTGTCGCAGACCAACCAGACTTTCTTTATCTTTTGTATTCACTGAAAGGCCATTTAATCATCTTTCTTCTTCAACCTGCATTTGTTTCTTTCTGGCTGGAGAATGGGACGTACCTGCCTCTCTGTTTACCTTTCAGGTTTGTGTACATAACGTTTTATTGCAGAGTTAGATCATTTCTAATCACTTAAGTTGACAGTTTATCGCTTAGGCTGTAAATGACACCTTAATCATGCATGAAACTGGGTCATGGACATATTGGGATTCAAGTTAAGGACAAATCTTACATTTTTAAAACTATAATTATTTTGTCATTTAACGCCGTATGCAGTGTCTCTGAGGCTACAGGTTTCCATCTTATCTAGGTGTGTTGGGAGAGCACAGGTAGGCGGGTGTTGCAGCTCCAGACAGTTCTGTTTGCTCTCTGATCTAATCATAAACATGTTGCAAGAAGAGACCTGAGGAAAGAGTTGTTTAACGGTCTTAAACTGGACTAGTGTTTGCATTCGAGAGGTTTTATCTGACTTTTGAGATGAGTTGGGCTGAGAGAAATAAAGTACAGTTGATCCATTTAGAAAGAAAACACCAGAGAGCAGGCTTAGATTGGCATGTGATGATGTGCAGTAAGTAGAAGTGTGTGTGTGTGTGTGTGTGTGTGTGTGTGTGTGTGTGTGTGTGTGTGTGTGTGTGTGTGTGTGTGTGTGGCTACTGTATTTCAGTTACTGGAGGTAATCCGAGTGTGTGGTTCCTCAGGCTGCAGTAATGGAAAAAGAGCCGCCAGGTTTCTTCCGCTCTCCCACGTGGGCACCCAGAAGACCCTCAAACGGTTTGACCATACCAATGTAGCCAAGGATCTGACTTTCATTGAAAACTCGAGCATTTAAAAACGTTAATCTGCAGATGATCTCAGCTGTGTGACTTGATGGTTGGAGGAGGTACACACCTCCTCAGCCTCATTGTTGTTATTTTCTGGTGGAGTTGAGGCTTCAGAGGAATCCAGATGGCCGACGCCTCGCTGTGGTCACGAGAGAGGACAGTTGTTTTTGTGTTTACGTGTTTGAGTTCTCGCAATTACAGTCCAAAGCCTGCAGGCTCCTGAGGCCACATGGGATGAGTGGTTCGGTGTCAGAGTCGGTTCCCCTCTGTCAGGTCTTCACGGTTGGGGCCAGAGGGAAGCCGCTAATGACAGCCTGGTGACTGGCAGCATCTCCAGTTCCACTTTATCTTCACTTTGTTCCCCTCTGCCTCGCTGTCTGTGAGAAATATGTTCCCTGTGGTTTAGTGGGAGCTGTGAGATGACGGCTGTCTGTCTGACTCCTGGTAGAAGCAGGATTGGGAGAGGAGGGGCGGGTGAGGAAAGACTTGTCCTCTCTAATTGTGTTTATGGCTCAAACACAATTCCCTTTGAGTGACTCCACTCAGAAGGAGAGTGAGTGACCTCTCGCATTATTACACTGTAATGCCTTCAAGTCTTTTATGTTGATGCAGGAGACTGTTTGTGTCCTACAAACTCATCAGACACTGTAATCACTCATTAACTGAGCATTACCCTAAATTCCCAGTCTGCAGAAGCAACATTTCAACGTCAAGTTTAAAAGCTGAGAAGACTTTTTTTTTACGACCCACAATTTGTGCGGCCTCTCTTTAAGCACCATATGGAACATGTGAAAGTATGGGAACACATGACATTGGAGCACCTTTTTAAGTGGATTCAAACTGCTATGATGCCACATGTATTATTTCCACTTGCTGGCTTCTTATGAAGACAGAATTCCTTTCACAAATATAGATGAATTTCACGATTTCAGCAAAAAAAAAAGTAATCTTATTCAGCTTCACTATAAAACATTGAATGGTGTGGTGGATTTGTTTATAACCAGAGCAGTGCTATTCCAGGTTTCCTGTTTGTGCTGCTGTCTCCTGCTTCAGTGTCCGATTACATTTCTCTTCAGCGATAGAGATGCTCTGCCCTGTAATCTGCTCAAGGTGGGGAAGGTCACAATCAACCGAGCAGAACGTCTTGAATCCTTTCTCACCTGTGTGTGTGTGTGTGTGTGTGTGTGTGTGTGTGTGTGTGTGTGTGTGTGTGTGTGTGTGTGTGTGTGTGTGTGTGTGTGTGTGTGTGTGTGTGTTGTGTGTGTGTGTGTGTGTGTGTGTGTGTGTGTGTGTGTGTGTGTGTGTTGTGTGTTGTGTGTGTGTGTGTTGTGTGTGTGTGTGTGTTGTTGTGTGTGTGTGTGTGTGTGTTGTGTGTGTGTGTGTGTGTGTGTGTGTGTGTGTGTGTGTGTGTGTGTGTGTGTGTGTGTGTGTAGCATTTACAAACACAAAGGTGTGATTTATAAGATACTCTCTTCTGCAGCTGCTTCTGAAAACTGTACCAGTCTTTAAGAATTACACAGTGTACACATGGACAACACATTGTGTGTTTTTGTTGCTTGCTTGTGAGATTTTGAATGTGTTTTCAGAAGTTGTTTGAAGTAAAAGTAGCCTGTAAATCTGGTAATATATTTTAAGTATGTAAGGTCATGTCCTATATGCTTTTTCAGGACCCTCTCACGTTTTTGTAGGACAATTCTTAACCCAGAGTCCATCACCTTTTTCTGCTGGGATGTAGTCCTTATTTCAAACGAGTTACAAAATGAAGCATACCACCTGAAGCTCCATGCCCTGAGTGAGCTGTTTGCCCTTTAATAGAAACGTTTTTGCAAGTCCTTGGTGAGTTGTGGATTACAAATATGTGTGGGACAGATTTTAAAGTATGTCTGTGTGCGCACATGTGCTCACAGGAGCCTTATTTGTGCAGCTGATTTTCCTGTGGAGTAGTTCAAGGTCAGGCGAAAGAGGCCCAACAGTAGTGCCGGCATCTTCATCTCTCCCCCTCCTTCCTCTCCTACACACCTCTCCATATGCCAAAATGCTCTTACCTCTCCTCTGAGATCTCAACCCTGATGGAACTTTCCTCTATCTGTGCAGGTTAGGGATAGAGTTTAAAGTTTTATTTCATGCCGCCGTCAGACTGCAGGTATTCTTGAAGGAAGCTACTCGAGTCAAATCAGGCTGTGAAGCTGAGATATGCATTGAATGTATCTGTCGGCTCCTTTCTGGGCATCTCTCGCTCTCTCCTTCAGACCCATACAATGGAAAATAAAACAGATCATTACTTTTCCAGCTGTCCATACATGTCGCTCATCATAGCTGAAAGATTTGACCTCAACCTCCAACAAAAGACTGTTATGATCTCCAGCTGACCTGAAACAGATGATCAGAGGACTGTGTTTTACTCTAATCAGAGAAATGAGTTGGCAGTTTGTTCTGATTAGAAACCTGAAGACATCGTGACCTGAGCAATTATTTATTATTTATTTATTATTATTATTAATTTTAGTTTTTTATTCTCATTATAATACAAGTACCGTTTTTCAAATCATATATTTTTAGAGACCCGGAAGTGACAAATGAAATAGCAAACACAATTAGTCAAAATAAAATAAAAACGAAAAAGTACACAGGGGTTGTTTGAAATTGCAAATGTCTACACATGTACATATGCATACATATCAACATACATATATACATTCAATACACATACATGTGACCATACATACACATCTATACATATACATTCAATCGGTTCAAACAAGATGTTTGACTGTGACCTGAGCAATTTAAAGAGCATGATACGTCTGGAGTTTTTATAGAAATGCACTTTTCTTCTCCAGGAGACAGAGCGGGAGGGTCACAGTGAGCAGGAGCGTGTCCGATCTCAGATCCGGGATTTACGGGGACAGCAGACGCAACAAAGCAAAGAGCTGCAGAGAAAAGGTGAGAAACACTGCCAAACTACTCACTCGCTGACTAACACAATGTTTCTAAAACCTACACACACTTAGATCTTGTTTAGCTATGCCACACTTTTGGGATTGCTTTAAACATTCACCTAAAGGTCAAGTTTGGGTAAGAATTCGAAGCCAACACTGACCACCTCTGTTGCGTTTATGACTGCACACATCCGACTCGATGCAATTTCCTCTCCACTGCCTGTTAAAATAGTCAGCTGAAGGAGCCTTTCTCCTGAGGTGGAGGTCAGGAGGTCATATTAATTCATCTAACCTTATTAACTGTTTGGAGAACCTCACAGCCATAGGCATAATTACTTTAGCTTCTTAGGTGTGAAGTCCTTTCATTAACCACTTTGTTAGCCACACCATTAATAAACTATCATGAATGCAAACCTTCAGGAGAGGATGAATGGGCTTCTTTCACTTCAATTTGACACTTTGCAGGCACAGAGCTGACTATGAGTAGCTTGTAAAATGACAAAAGTGCATTATTGAGACACAAATGTGGTTACACACCTATCTACAGTACAGTATAGCTTGTCCAAATCAAACAGTCTATGGCAAACTATATATTGGAAAAAGCCCCTGATATAGGACACCAAACTTTGATTGTCCTTGGCTGAAGATGAAAGAGTTTATTTTCTTTTATTTAATCCCGGGGCCTGGCTGACCTAAACCTGGCCCTGAGGCAGACGGCCATAGTGGTGTCATTCTGTGTGGCCTGGTTTGCCCTGGACTTGGTTCTCTGTGTCCTTCTCATGGGTCTGGGGTTGGTGGTGGGGTTATGGGAAGCAACAGAGGAAAACCCAACAGCCACACCTCTGCTAAATAAAGCTGATACCAGAACAGAACTAAGGTCTAGTGAACTTGGCCGAGAAACTCCCCACTGTTCCTGATTTACCACTCCCTACCTAACAATTTAAACCAGGGTGAAACCAGGGTGAACAAACAAGGGACCACCGTAGAAAAGCCGGTTAGGAATGTGCCTTTTTTTAAAAGGCAGCAAAGACACTGACGTTTGTGGTTGGGAAAGGACAGCGTAGACAGGGTGGGCCGGTGGTTCTTCAGTGGGCGGCTGTGTCTCAGCAGAGAGAAAGTAGCAGAAAATAAGAGATTGTCTTGGACCATGCGTGGCATTTTTTGGGGGGTTTTTGAATGCAGCAAAAAACGCATACCTCTACCTCTCAGACAAAAAGCTTATATTTATTTACCTCAATGACCATGTGTTAAGCAGTACTTCAAAATGTAATGTTTGGAGAGACGATCAGTGGAATGTGCCTTGAGTTCCCAAAAGAGAGAAACTCACACAACATCATGGTCTGCAACTGTGATACCGTGCAAAAAGTGTATCCCAAAATTAGACCAGAAATGAATCCCCCAAAGGGGTGATAGGAAAAATCTGAGAGGTTTAACTGGAACTTTCAACAAATCTGGGGGATTTTGCATATTCGAGACAAGGCAGGATATCTGATCATTATACCGTGCTTTCTCTGAGACATCTGCAACCTGCGCAAGAGTTTAGAGTAGGCATTGCTTCACTAAGAAGGTTTACGAGCCAATCAGTTTGGAAACCCTGGAATATGACCTTAAAAGGATTTTCTAAAGCAGACTCACTTTTTTTTTTAATTGCAATAATTGGTTGCTGCAATGTCATGTTTTTTTGTACAGCTTGGTGTATAGCACTTTTCTTTATACGGTTGCATTATTAAGAGTAAATGCTTTTAATGAGACAACATTTTTTAGTAACAATAAAAGCCACGGAGTGATAAGCCCATGTTGAGCCCGGGTCATTGCATCAGCAGGCGAAGTGGAGTCAGAAAAGCTGGTTGACCAGTTCACAGCAACGGAAAATGCAAGCTTTCCTCGTGTCACTGCTTCGGTGTGAAGGGCTAAATAAAACCCTTACTCAGCCTTTGTTTGTGCCCTATATATTGACTGGCAGCCGAGTGCACAAGCGCAGGCTGCTTTTGTAGCTATTTCAGAGCTAAGAGCAAGCCTCTCATTATCCAGCAGCAATGGGATTTTCCAAGAAATCGCTACACAATAGACATGACCGCTTCCCAATGGCACAACATGAACAATAATGTATACGTTTATTAAAAGAAGTGCTTTGTTCAGGCTTTCACTTCTTTTGAGCAGTAATTGCATTTGGGTTGAGTGCCTCATTAGATTCAGACACTGCTGTCTAGCAGACCATTGTGTCACATGTGAGATTGGCAGCCATTTGTTGTCCTAATTGTGTATCATTACTACGTTATCTATCCAGCTTGTATTACATAATCATCTGGTCTGTTAATCAACATCCTGCTTCCATTTATAAATTGATTGTAAACAAATTAGCAAACGTCTTTTTTCTGTGATTTGTTAAGATTTAATAAATACTTTAGATCAATTTGCTGCAAATGTTAGTATATACTGACAGTCATGCATGAGACAGAAGAGAAACAATGCTCCTTATGGCAATTTCAAGATTTTGACATGCAGAATTAAAACGATCAATAAGTAACTCGGTGTCAGGGTCAATCACTGGTCAAACTACGATTAGCAAATATAATTCAAGATTCTGCAACTGAATTGCCTATTTCACGCCTTAGATCATTTCAGAAATATATTTGAGTGTACTGTTTAGCCCTACAATTCAAAAGTGTACGACCCAGGTTGCCATTTTCGAAATTCAAGGCAAGATCAAGAATATCTAAAGTATTTGTTTACAAAGTTACCTACTGTAGATTTAACAAAGCTGTGAACTTCCTGTCTTGCTGGAAATTAAAGGGCATTTCCGCGGCTGCTGGTCACGTTAATTGATTGCTTTTTAAATGACAGCCTTGCATACTTCCTGAACCCCATTTGTTTGCAGTGTTAACACAGACACACACAGGTCACACAGAACTGTTTTCATGCTTTGGTGTGTTCATGGGATGTGGGAATCTGATACATGTTTTCCTTATCTGCGGTACGTATACAACCTCAGATATTCCATCACTTGAAGCACCATAGGGTGTTGGAGGTAGAGACTGTAACAGAGGGAGGATGTGGGCTGCGCTGTGTTGTTTGTAGTGTGGTTTCCTGAGGAGAGAAGGAGCAGTGAGCCTGGACAGAGGGGAGGGGGAAGTACTTGTCCTCGTCTCTATTTCACCCCCACTTCCTCCATACCGCCTATGGTTTAGCCACATACTCGCTCTCTTTAGTCTTGACCCCTCCTTCTATTCTACGCACATCCACCGACACAATCTCACAAATCTTGCTCAGGAACTGAGACCAGTCTGGAGGAAATGCCTTCATCCCCTCATGTCTCCACGTGCCTCCTCTGTGATCCTTAGTGGTATATTCTAGCCTGGCCTGTACCCACAGAAGTATTTCATTTCCATCACATCAATCTCATACTTCACCACCTACTGCTTTCCTTTACTCACTGACAATAACACCCTTTTTACTGAAGTTCACTACTAGTGTGAGAGAAAAAGTAATATGAGAATCCGTTTTTTTGTAACAGGAAAGCTACAAGGTACAGAAAGGCTTTCATTACTTTTTGATTTAATTTGTTTCCTGTTGCAGGCTCCAGCTCAGGCATGGTGCTGGATCTGGATCACCTGGGGAAGGAGGACGATGGCCCTGCAGCGCTGCTGATCCAGCCTCAGAGAGAGGCTGAGAGCAGCGAGCCGGACCTCGTCCTGTCTCATCGTCAGAGGTCCGACTCCTCAGCGTCAGACCGCAGTGCGATCTCTGGGCTCTCCAGGTCCAATCTGGATTCTGCGGCTTCAGAGAAGAGCGAGGGCTCAGCCTTCAGAGGCCGGCTGGACTCTGGAGCCTCGGACAGGAGCCAGAGTCCCTTCCAGAGAGGTCGGCTGGACTCTGGGGCTTCAGAGCGGAGCGTCGGCTCCCTGACCCACATCAGGCAGAGACTGGGTTCAGATGTCTCAGACTCCGGCGTCAGACCCCGTCTGGGCTCCGGGGCTTCAGACAGCGCTGGGCTTTTGTCACGGACGGACTCGGGGACATCTGTTAGTGCGAGTGTGTCCTCTGAGGAGAGGGGTCCAGCAGAGGATGTGGAGGTAGCCACGAGCGGTTCCACTTACAGCACAGATTCAGAAGTTGAGAGCGTAAGTCAAGGTCCAGCCAGCCTTCAGGCTCCGTCCAAACAGGACAGCATCATCGACCAGGAGCAGCCGGATGGAGCCGTCTTATCCCGGAAAGATCCTGCAAATGGCCTGCTCGACGACAGCATCAAGGGAACATTTGACTTCCAGAAAAAAAAGGTAGAGTGCACAGTTCTTGTATGAACTTGTTGTCTTTGAGGAGAAAAACATTATAAATACAGCATCCAAACAGGGCAGGAGGGCCACTGACTAGTTTAATGAGCATGGCGATAATCAAAGCATGTTTACCAAATAAAACAATAAGAATTTCTGATACTTCCCCAAGTTTTAAGTAATTTTCGTCTTTTAATACTAACAATATATACAAAACATATTTGAATACTAAGAAAGGAAAATGGGGCAATGTAGATGTTTTCCAAGTCTTACTGAGACACCTTGACTGAAATAGACACAGATGGGAGGCCAAATGAAAACCAGCCAGCTTAACATCGGCTGTACACATTATAATTGTGCCACTAGAGTGGGGTGTTGAACCACATAGCCTCACAGTAACATGCACCAACAGTCCAAGCTCTTTCCTTCTTTCTTTTCCATCATCCCACCCCAGACACTCGTTCTTCAGTGACACCCAGGTCACATCGGCATCCATAAACACAACTCGCGGAGCCCTGTTAGGTGCTGTTTAACTTGTGTTACTTAGCTACACAAACAAACTTTGCACCTGAGTGTCTCTGCTTCACCTCAGCGACGTGTCGGCCTCACCTGCTTTCAGAGAGGGATAGAAAGCGCTGCGGACAGAGGTTCTGTCTCTCTTCAGCCCAGAGCGCGCACACACACACACACACACACACACACACACACACACACACGTACACACACACACACGTACAGACACACGTACGTACGTAGCGGCTGTTTCTGCACTGACTGTTGAGCAACATTTCCCATTTAGGGGCCTCGGGTCACCGTGAAGCCATCGCGTTGCTCCTCTAAATGTGTTTACTCAAGGCTGGCCCCGGACTTCTTTTATTGTTCCCTGCAAGATACGCTGATGCTCATTCTCCAGAGAGTAATGTAAACACTCTGGGGCCCATCATGGCTCTGCTGCCAAAAAAAGAACAGAGGCCCACCACTTCACTCCAAACACAAATGTTACATAAAGAAAACACCACCGGTTGATTCTGTTTTTAGGAAGGTGTGTGTGGCTCTGGTTGTTAAAAATAGTGCATGTTAACTAGGGATGGGATTTTGAAAGCAAATGTATATTCGAATATTCGACCCCCCAAAAAACGGTTAACCGAAATGTATACATCCTATTTATAAAAAAAAATGCGTAAAATATACAGACAGACAGACAGACAGACAGGTACAAAACACACCTTTAGACCCAACACATTTAGCTATGACACGGTCATATACATTGAATTATTCCATTTGATCATATGTAATCAACTTATGCACCCCTCCCAACAAAAATTACAATTAATATATTCATAACTCATATCATATTCGAATACCTGAATAATTTCGATTAATCGTTCCCATCCCTAATGCTAACCCCTTATCTCTTATACTTCCTCTACTGATTGTTCCATAATGTTTCTTTGTTTTGTTTCTGTTTTTTAGATGACAATAAACGGTGATCTGCCCCTCAATAATGGCAAAGCAAAGGATTCTGGTAAGAAACTAGTCATTTCCAGCTTCTCAAATATAAATATTTGCTACATCTCTTTCTTTTGAATTGTTGTCCATTTATCAGGTTTGGTGTCAGTAGTGTTGATTGGAAAGAACATGCATATTTATTATAAATATTATCTGTTAAAGGTGGGGTAGGTAAGAATGGAGAAACCAGCTCGAGTGCGCTAGAATTTGAAAGTACGCAGCCGAAAAAAATCTGCCCCTTCCTTCAGACTTCCTTACAGAGCCCCTCCTCCAACACACATGAACGCACACATGACCAAAGAGGGCACGAGATAAGTTTGTGCACAGATGGAAGGCTGACAGGCAGGTAGGCCATCCAGTTACTTTAGCCGGGCCGGCTCAGATGATTGGTCGTGCTTTTTATAGCGCCATAGCTTCCCTTCCACGGATGCATTTTTTTCATGTATTTATTGTCAAAGCATTTAATGTATTCATTGCTATCGGGATGTTAAGAGCATTCCATGGAATATAACAAAAAGTGTTTCTGAAGTGAATTACCTACCCCACCTGTAATGCTCCTAAACCTATATGCACAGATTAATTTGGCTTAGTTTAATGATATTGCACTCGTCGTCTTCATCAGGGAAACTGAAGTGGGTAAAACAATCGCACCATAGTTCATCCCCAGTAGGACTCCACTTTATGAAGACAATGGAGCCATTAGTGGGACCGTATCGAGCCACTCGCAGTAGAGTGCTGGGATGAGGGCATGTTATACAATGTACACTTTCTTTTACTGGAGAGCGCTGTTAGCTGTGTCTATTTTATTATAAACAGTTTTCCTTGCGAGCAGCACATCTTTTTTTATTTGGGAGGATGACCTCAGTGGATATCTTCTCCTCTAATCACTAAGGATTTTTCCACTGGAGAGTTTGTGCGTAATCATGAGCTCTGTACACATTATTTGAAAGTATTAAGGATCAGAGAATGGAAAATAAAGAGTGGAAGAAACGTGTCCTGAAAAGTCAAAAAATACAACCTGAAAGATGGTTAAACAGGGGGAGTTAAGTCAAGCAAAATAAAGCGTCTGAAACAAAACCTAGAGGATGAAAGGAGGAATGGGATGTGTAGAGGGCTTTTTAGGTGGAGGAGGATATAATGAAAGCAGGATAAAACATAAATCTGCTAAATTCAGACTGAATAGTGGAAGAGATCCAGACTGTGCTGTATTTTTCTGTGATTTTAACACCATGCATTATGTCTTTACAGCACCTGAGAAGAAAGTGGTATTGGAACAATTCAACCGAACCAACTCTGTACGCGATCGAATGCGTAAATTCACTGAAGCAACCCAGAGCGCAAACGTCCCAGCTTTGAGGAAAGCTCCTCTGAGGAACGGCACCTCCTCCGGCGGCAGCAGCCAGGCGAATCTGTCCAGAGCCACCGAGATGTTTACACACACAGGAGCATCCCTCAGCACATCTGGAGACAGGCCAGAGAGGCCACGTGTGGACTCCACATCTCACACCTCCGCAGCATCCCAGAGTCAGGCCGTACCTCAGCCAAGAGGTGTGGCCAGCAAACCTCTGTCTTCAGCCGGCCAATGGCAGAGCTCCGTAGGCGGGACGAGGCATCCAGCAGAAAAAGATGCGCATGCCTCCAGTAACTCAAAGGAAGACGGGACCCCAGGGAGAGCAGCTGAGCAGCAGGTCACCCAGGGAGAGGCAGACCCCGACATGAAGACTTTCCTCACTATCGAGATCAAGGATGGGCGCACCACCTCCACCTCTACGTCCTCCCCCAGGGGCAACATGGTGCCCATCACCAACATGACCCCACGCATCACCACTAATCCTCTGGGGCAGAGAGGAGGTAAGAGCACCCACCTTACAGTGCTACAATAACTCTCAAATAACTCTAAAATAACTATTTTCCAAAATGTTAATTCAGGATTAGAAGGACTTCTGAACACATATGTTTGTTCAACCACTCAATGCACTATTATTTCTAGGTGACACTTTTTTTTTTAAAGCTCAATTACACCATGCAGATTTGCAGCACTGTGTTTTAGGTCATTTGAGTCTTAATTTAGCGACTTTATGTCTTTACTTGCTAGTATCAATCCTTAGATCATAAAGGAATCCCAGTCGCTGTGGGAGGCGACCGGCACCAAGGAAAACGGTCACATGTGGGCCGATGACAAGCAGAGCGCGTGGATGAGTGGGGATAGATGTTAGGGCTAAATATGAAGCTGCGTGATTGAACTGAAGGGTATTTGTTATGGAGTTGGTGCAGTGTGGAGGGGTGAGGTCAGTAGTCAACAGAAGCGAGTATATTTGGGACAAAGGAGACAATAATTGGCTCTCAGGCCAGACTGAATGGTGATACTGTAACAGTGCAAGTGAATGAGCCTGCTCGCCCACACAAGGCTTTGTTTGTTCCATGCTGTATATATTGTCCCCCCTACACTTATCTAAGACACTTTCTTTATCCATTCTCCTTGGTGTGCAATTAGAGACGTTTTTATTGATGATTTGATTAGTCTCAAATCCATGAGTTAACCATTGGAGTCCCAGCTGTTTAAGACACTTGAGATTCTCAATTTGAGTGTAGCATTGTCACCTTTTTCTAGTCTACTACCAGAAAAGGTGTCCATGCATTTCACGCCTCATTTCTTTTTACTGTTATTAAATCAGCGTAACAGTAAAAGACAGAAAATAGGTTATGAAACATGAGGAAATAAAACATACACCCCTGGCTGGGCGTAAACCATAAAAACGACTCCTAATGGAACAAAATATAAGGAATTTTGCTAATTAGTCAAATAAAAAAAGATGGAACAAGAAACATTGTCACTCCTCTGAAACAGTTCAGAGATACTGCATGGCCCTATCAGTGGTATTCAGCTCTGCTTTTTCTAAATTATGTATTCTTCAATTCATACTTACAAGTATACTTTAAATACTAAAGTAGGTCAAATGTTGTAGTTCTTAGAGAAATACAACAAGTATTCAAAAAGGCATATTTGTAGTGTGTGAGTTTCTGTATTGTTAACTAACTTAAGGCACATTAAGTAGCAGGAAAGTCTCCTAAAAACACAAAGTTCCTGAACATGTACGTACTCAGCAGCACAGTACATACTTGCAGTACAAGCAGTACTAGCAGGGGTTTATTAATTGCATGACAGAAAAACATGAATAGCTGAGATGTCAGTGTGTTTCAGAAGCAGAGCTGCTCCAGCTGCTATAACTGTACAGTCCAAACAAGACGTGTTAGGTTTCAGCTCTTCCCTGAAACCGGGACCTCCAAACCAAACTGTTTATGTAAGACTAAAGCTGAACCTGTGTGATTACACCTCTTACAGCGCCCCCCCCCCTCCACTGACACATACTGGCAGCCCCACTGGACTCCTCCACGAGGGTTTTTCCAGCTCAGTTTGCTTTAATGGCTTTGGGCTCCTTTTTTGGGAACCTGCCTGTCTCCCACTGACCAAAGACAGGCTGGGATTGTGTCTCCGGTTTCTCTTAAAAGCACCGTCTTAAATGTAAACTATGCTGAGCTGGTGTGTATCAGTCTTGTATTGTATGATATAGCTTTTGTGCATGTTTAAAGTTAAGGGGTGGGAGTGGGGGGTTTGAAAGCAGGTCGCAGGGAAATCCATGTGCAGGTAAATAAAGAGAGATGTTTATGTTAAAGGTGACGTCATCCACATTTTCTCGCCTCTCATTAGCCAAGGGAACATGTTGTTTATGACACTATGGCAGCTTATGTAACTGACTAAACACAGTGCAGGACCATGTGCACATGCATATGAATCTTTTTTGATGTTATATGAACCCATAGCTTTGCAATGTTTTTCCTCTTGAATTCCATGTTCATTTTGGTCTTCACTTGTATCTGTTTCAGAGTTGACCCTCGGCCTCCGAGCTACACCGTTCAAGATCTCCTCATCCAGCCTCTCCTCAGGATCCTCCATCAAGGTACAGTCTGCCATTGCAAAGTATTTTCTGGGAAATGATCATAACATTGAGGCTTTGCAGAATCTGGAGACGGAACCTGTCAAACATGGATCAAAACCACATTCCCAGTTGGATCCAATTTTGTAGATTAACACACCTTTTGTATCCTCTCTTTCATTTCCAATGGAGTCAATTGAAGTCCACTGTGTGTTTGTCCCTGTCACAGCCATCACCTATAAAGGCCTGAAACGCAAGTGAGCCGGGACAGTGAGAGACAGACAGAGGGTGTACAAAGGAGGGAGATGAGGGAAGAACAGTGTTTATCAAACACAGAGTGGGTAGCCAGTCACATCTGTCCTTGTAGGGTATGTGAAGGAGAGAGAGAAGAGGGAGGTGCTCCGGGCATTCCTTGTTTTCTCTCGGCAGGCCATGCCCGCTGAGATTTATCTGGGAAATGTTTCCCCAATGACACCTGTCTGTCTTCATGCACACTGATTGTTGTCCATCTGCATCAAGACACATGTTGACAAATGTTCTTCTTCGCGTCTTTTCTTAGGGGCCAATGCAAAAGATTCATCTCATGTCAGAGTCTTACCGACCCCCTCCCCTCTTACAGTGACCTTGGGGGTTAGAAAGAACATCTAAACTCCCATTTGCCTCGTTCCTCAACCTCCGCGCTCCTCCATGAAAGGAAGTGTCTTGGGGAATGGGGAGTGGGGGACTGAGGGGGTGAGGAGAAATGGTGAACTATTTAATCTTTAATGGCTGTGTATTCCCCCCCTGTGTGGAGCGCAGCTGTAATCTGGTAATGGGATCAGGGAGCTGGTTGATTACGGCTGGGAGGAGTCTCTACGAGGCTTCGGGGTGAATTTAAGGTGTTGGAATGAGACTGTCTCCATCAGTTAGGCCCTTGCTGAGACGCACAGACACAGGGGCCGGTACATAGTAAGATAACACAGCAGTCTTTCTTGAAAAGGGATTTAGCGGCAAGCTGAGGAGATAGAGCCTTGGTGTTGGGACCAGGGGGTCACAGGTTCAAATCCCACTGCAGTCAGCATGTCGTTGTGTCCCTGGGCAAGACACTTCACCCCAAATTGCTCCTGTGGGGATTGTCCACAGTCCGCAGACAGTGTCCAAGTCACTTTGGATAAAAGCGTCTAACAAGTAACGTGTAATGTAAAAAGATTGCGTTTATACTCGTCTGAGTGATATTACGACCATATCATAACGGCATGCAGGTAATGCCTTGTGCTAACATGTGAATGATTTCTTTTTTTTAGTATTTTGTATTTTAGATAGTGCTAAAATAAATACATGTGGTTGAAGAATCCAGATCCTTTTTCATTTAAAATAGTTAATTTACCTCTGTGGACCTCTCACTGAAAAACCCATTTGTTTCGATCCTGCTGACTGCATGTTAGCACTAATAGGCTGGGTTTCACATACATGGTTATGATCATCATTGTATAGGCTCAACATGAATGCCTCCATTGATGAAACCACAAGACTATGACAAGTAGGTCTTTATCTCTTTTCGTCACTTGGCTGATATTTCACCAGCTTCCACCAGATCTGCTCAAGTTTCCCCTAAAGTACTCTGAGCCTGAGTGACTTGGCTAATGAGATTTTAAAAACAGCAGCAGACACTGTTAGTTAGCATCAACTAAAGGGGAGCTTGGTTACCTACAGACTGATCCAGAGACCACCTGCTCTCTGACTTTACCTGGTTTAGTGGAAGTTCTAGGTTGTGTGAGATGTCAGGGATTTATTGTGAATCCTCTTAAATAGGAGGCACAATGTAGGGCTGCTCGATTATCTGGGTCAATAATTGTAATTGCGATTATTAAATGCGATTATTCATTGACTTTGAAAACATCCATTTATTGGAGAGAAAAATATGTGAACAGTATGTTTTTAACAGTTGATTACCGTGAACTTTAAGTATAATTTAAAAAATTAAAAAAAAAATTTAAAAAAAAGTAATAATAATAATTAAAAAATAATCGTTTTATTTCGATTACGTTGTTTTCGTAATCGCGATTAAAATACGATTAATTTAGCAGCCCTAGCATAATGTATACAGTTGTGTTCATTATAAGAAAAAGAGTGTTTAGTGTATTTAGTGTTGGAACAAGAGTTTGAATCTGTTTTTCCTGTTTGGTGTTGATCGTTGTTGTTTATTTACCACAGTGGTTCCCGCTGAGGCTCTGATCTGTTTGGGTGGTCTGGGCTTCTTCTCGGTGGTCCAAATTCAGCACTCATACCCTCCCCTATTTCTTAAGTGGTATTCTTTTAAGATTCTAATAAAACACACTGTTATCGCAATCTATTTAAGGGTCAACAGAGATAAATGTTCTAAGAAGCAATGAACAGACTTCAATAGTGTTGGAGGCCTAGCTGCTCTTTCTTTATTATAAAAGATTAAGAGGAAGTTAATGGTCACGATGCTTGTAGGTTTCCAGCTCAGTGATGAGAGCTGCTTTCAGACAGGTGAGGCCTGCAGCTGGGTATTGATGCCTCGTTGTCCTTGTTTGTCTACCCTCCCTCATACTGTAAAGCGTCTTTGAGTTGTGAAAAGCGCTATATAAATAAAATGCATCACCATCATCATCGTTCTCAGTGATCGCAGCTGCTCCTGCTCATCTCAGCTGTCCATGTGCACGGCCTTGAACACAAATATAAACAATGCCCACAGTGCTGCTGCGTGGACATGGACACACAGGCCCACACATTGTCTCACTGTCACAGGGGGATTGTTAACAAACTGCTGAACCATCACACATGCTGATTACCCAACCGGTTTACATGTGTCATAGACTTAAGCCTCCCTGCAAACTGCGGAGAAACAGACGTCTAGATGCTGTTTTATAGACACTTTTTCTGTCATTGCTATGTTGACTTTTCTTCGAACTAGAATTAAGCTATACTACATTATTTCTGGTACTGGAAACTACTTGTTTACTGTATAGCAGCAGGGTTCACAATAGCCACAGACGCTGTCACATAATAGTGTATGCACTTTTTGATTGGTCAGGCTTTTTAACCTCACTGTTTGCCGTGGGTAAAGTGGGTTAGTGCTTTGATGCGTGATAAGACTAGAGACATGGTCCTCCTGGGTTTTGACCCACTTCCCTGCTGCCAGTCACATTTCTCTTCACTTTCTCTGAGGGCCAGTTCTTCCCGGGAACTATTTTGCTCACCTGTAATTACCAGGAGAGACCATTGTTGCCCTTTGTCACATTGTTATCCCTTGTTTTAATATCAGTTTAATGCGTGTGATGTTTTGGCTTGTTATCAAGAGCTACAGATTTATCACATTTGCCTTCCCCTAGTCATAGATACAGTATGCCCAGTACTCTTTGTTTTTGTGCATGCTTTTAAAGCGTCAGGAGGCATTTTTTTTTTTAAATGTCTTGGGCCTCTTACACAATAACCAATGTGCACACAGACTTCTGTCAGCGCTCTTGGAAGACTCTTCATTTATCACAGAAGCACTTGAAGCATTCACATGAGCAGCAGCTGGGCAGCTTTGTCAGTGAGCCTAAAACTAAATCTTTAAGTGCTGCGATGTCTTTCCCTACATCCTTGCCCAGAGCCGAGGAGAGCTGGGTCTCGTCTGACGTTCACTTCTCACCCAGCCTGCTGTGTCATAGCCCCGAAACACTTTGTCCTTCACGGACTGATCCTCCCTTTGGACGTCTGCTCTAAGTCAAAGTCATGCAACGCAACTGACCTAATTAGTCACAACACCATCACATTTAGTCAGAAAGCATTTTTATGAGGAGTCAAAGACTAGCGTATAACTCCGCTTAGCCCGGGCTTAAGGCCACATCTAAACCTTCGCTGCATGCTAATCGGGGTGTGAAGGACAACGGCTTGAGATAAAAGGAAAGTTGAAAGAGGGAGGGGTAAGTTTTCTGAATTGTTGCCGCAACCATTCCCCCCCAGGCCCCCACCAGGACAGACTGGCTCTGTGAAATAATGGCAGGGCAGGAGATAGACATGTCCACGGCACCTGGAAAACGGGGGTGGGACTTCTGCTGTCTGGGAAACGGGATTTGTTTCATGCTCATTGGCTGTGAGGGTGTTGGCCCGTGAAGAGGGCAGATTTGTTGGGAGTATAAAGGACGTGCATTGTTTTTGAAAAGGTCTCTGTAGACAGACCAGATCAGACACCCTCTACCTTCACATCTGTGGCCACAACATTTAGATTTTTCTGATCTTACGCCACAACTTTTTGGACACACGTAGATTTAGGCGACTTTGAGCAGTGTAACATTGAGTGCAGCCGGTCTGGCCATGCCTGGAGTGAACCTGGACATACCAGCCTCAGAGGCTCCCGAGGCTTTGGGCAGTCCAGATAGCGCTTGTGCAGAGTCTGGCCTGGAGGAGGCGATCGGTGATCTGCTAGCTCAAGAGGAAGCAGAGCATGAAGAAGAGCTGTTTTGCAAGAGGGAATTTGAAGTAACACTACAGTGTGCAGTGGGGGAGATCCACAGTGACCTGCAGGCCTTTGGGAAGCGAGTGGATGTTTGCCTTAAGGAGGCAGCTTCTCAGGTGGCTCCTCTGGCTGAGGCCCTCGCCCGGCTGCAGGAGGAGAACCTGAGGATGAGCATTCAGCAGGAGAAGCTGCTGAGGCAGGTGGAGGCCCTGTGCAAGGTTATGGGGCTACCTGATAGCTTACTGCATGAACTGACCAGCAAAGAAAGCTCACCTACAATTCAATGTGAAAGCGAAATACCGTCCAGTGATTCTCTGTCGTCATCCAACGATGCTCCAGCCAGCACATCCCAGGACGAAGCACTTGAAGCGCCTCACGAAACTTCATCCCACACGTTGGAAGATTCTCTATCCAGTGCTCCCCAGGACTCTCAGGCTGGCACTCTTCTGCATAGTCCATCAAGCATTTCCCAGGAAGCTTCATCCTGCCCTGTATCCGCTGAGACAAGCACACCTCCGACTCCAGAAACGTTGTCTCTCCAACACCCACCCACCTTTGCAACCTGCCGGTCCCTCTCTGCTCCCTCTGGGTTGGAAAGCATTTCTTGCAGCAAAAGCGCGGTACTGCTCTCTGATACAGGTTTAGAAAAAAACCCAAACGCCCTTTTTTGTATTCAGATAAGCTGCGTGAAGAATAGGAATGTATTTTTGTTCCTGTGTTCGCAATACATGTGGATCAGCTGGCCTCAAGTACTTTTGAGTGCCATGCTTGTTCTTGCCCATGTTCTTTTTGACCTGTACTTTCTGACCTTTTCATTGGTTTTAATTCCCTTACAATATGTCCTTAATTCATTTTTTAGAAATAGCCTGTATATTTGAAGGACATCACTACAGTCTGTCCTGGAGGTATTCCAATCCTTCAACACCATGTGTTTCTGATCCTGGCTAGTGCTCGTGTTTCTCTGCAGCTCTGCATGAAAGGGCTCATGTGTAGTGCATACACTTCATGTTTTAACAGTAACAGTTGCCCTGGTCTATAGTTTGTCACATCATAGATCATCCATCATGCTCACTTTGGCAGGAATCATATTGATTTAGCATACAACATTTTTCAAAGGAGTCATAAATGGAGCGGTTTTACTTGTCCGGTTTAATAACAAAGATTGGATTAAGGTCTTACATCCCATTGTAAAAATCATTGCACAGTCCTCTTGACTGACATGATAATCTCTCGGCTCTCAAGCTTTGTTTGCTCAATGTACCCTTGAGATCCCATAACAAACACTGTTTGTTTGTATGCACTGGTGACATTTCAAGGGATATTGAGTATTTGCGCCTGCGGCATAATCTTCAGTTATATAACGGGCCAATGTTGCAGCTGCATCTGCCAATCAGCTGTTCCTATAAAGGTGGTGGTCTTCTCTTAAATCTTACTTGTGATACCTCCCAATGCTTTTATTCAATGTCAACTATGAAATATGTCAGTTTTTCATCATTCTGCTGCCAGGGACTGTATTGCAGGTTTAAGTCATGAAGCAATACGTGTTCAGAGAGATTGTAGCCCTTCTCGTATAACAGCAGAATTAAGCATCTGAGTATCTGAATTAAACACGACGTGAGCGCAGGTTATCTGGGATTTTCTCGCCCCACTCACATTCCCACATTGCCTGAATCAGGGCCCTTGTTTGGCTTTGTTGTGTCCCAAAGCATTCCTTGTCAGTCAAGTGCCTCTCACTCCAGTCTGTCCCATGTCCAGAAAAGTTTTAAAAGCAGTGGCCACCCCTAATCCCACAGCACTGAGGCTGCTCCGGGCATTGTCCCTCCCTGGTGAAACCTGGGGCCCACAGTGAGGCTGTGGATAGGGACGGGGCCAGCTGTCTGAGCTATATCTGGACGCAGCTACAACAAAGGCATTAAAGCCACATCTAGAGCTCCTAGTCTGCCACAGGCATTCAGCACGATGTATAATATAAGAGTAGTTTTCTATAGGATTTGTGGTCACTTTAAAAGAGCTGGTTGAAAGCTTCGTGCTCTACTTCCTCTTCAGCATGCTCCCTCACTCTTACCTTTTGCTCTTACGCTCAGCACTCCTTCTGTGGTGTGCATACCATTTTCTCAGAGTTTATATCTGCTAATGCATTGTTCCCATCCTCCAGTCATAATGGTGTACCGTACCTGTCACATAAACTCTTGCTTCACTGCAGCTCAGTATCATCTGGACACTCACTGTGTCAGTCACACTCCATGGACTATGTTAACAGTAACTTGGCAGAGTCGCTCATGTGCTTATGGTCACCCTCTCTGGCATGGCTGGAAGGCAGAGGGATGGAAGAAATGATGAGATGTGGTGCGCTGGCAGTCTTAATGCAAAAAGAGATTATCAGAGGGAGCCTGCTTCTAACACTCAAGCCTATTATGGCTGCAGTGTGTTTGACCTGTGCTTATTACGTTCTAAATGTCAGCAAGCTTAAGTTATGTTTTTTAACCCTTAGATATTCTTTCTGCAGGTGCTATGGCAATGCACATATCCAACTAAGGCAGTGTTTCTCAAACTTTTTCATACCAAAGTCCACTTAACCAATAAAAAAACACTCGCGGACCACCTAACTCCACAAATATCCAAAATCACATCGTTTTTCTAGAACAAATTACAAATCGCCTGAAAAAGGTACAAACAAGTGGCAACATGTGTGATGAAGGTGTTGTGCTGGGCTATATCATACAATTGAAAGTGAAGCTTAAGATTGCTCCATTGCGGAGATATTCCCGCGAGAGTGCGGAAAACTTAAATGTATTTATTTATTTCAAATATGAAATTTTACCAATATACTCACGGGCCACTAGGGGGTGCTAGTGGTCCGTGGACCACACTTTGAGAAGCACTGAACTAAGGTCACCATTCTTTTTTAGAGGGGCCCTAGTATGCACAAGGTCAGGTTCATATTGTACTTGTGCCTCTACTGGGACATGTTTACAGGCTTTAATGTTCCTATTATTTTTTTTCTCAAACTGCACCTCAATCACCCTCTGTCTGAAACCAGAGCCCAGTCTGCTCTGATTGGTTAGCTGGCTGGCTCTGTTACATAGTGATGTCATTACGTTACACAAGTAAACAAAGGAGTACATCCGAGACGTTTCAGGTTAGGGGGGTGCGAGAGAGAAACTCCTTTTGGAGGGTACTGTGGGATTTCAGCCTTTGCACACAATTGTCACAAACTAGGAAAAGGAAAACTCCAAAAAGCACAATAGGGCCTCTTTAACTGAATATATAGACATAAAACATTGTTTTGCATGTCTTGGTGTCTGTGCTGTAGCTCATGCTGTGTGTGTTTGTGTTGTGTGTGCAGATGAAGACAGAGCCCGTGGCCTCGGAGCCGGTGTCTGCAGCTGCATCGTCTGCCAAGGTGGGGAGTCACGTCCCCACCATCCCAAACGGCTCCAGCACTCAGAGCAAACCACACGAGCACTCCGGAAAACTGACAGCCGACCAGCTGGCTGCTATCGAGGACGAGGAGCTCCTTGACAAAATGGTACTTCACACTCAAGTTATAATTCTGGAGGATTTTGATTTGAGCACCACTTTAAAACTAATGAATGGTGTAGCGTTAATCATGCAGATAGTTTGTGTAGTAAATCTCCCCAGATATGTGAAGGTATATTTGGAAAAGTAAAAGCTTATTATTGTCTGTATGCAAAATGCTATGTTAGAAGTGCATGAACGAATAGAGCCATGCCACTACGACTTTTTGTGAAGAATGACTTCATTGTTTCTTTTCTCTCACAGCTCGATGAGTCAAAAGACTTTGAGGAGAGGAAGATGATCCGTGCAGCCATGAGAGACCTTCGCAAGAGAAAGAGAGGTAAGAGAACAAAATGAATCTCCTGTCTGTTACTCTCATCAAATGAAAACGTGCTTAATTATTTTATCCCGACCACTGCTTTGTTTCAAATGACGGTACTAAAAGGTAGTCACACTGCCTTCATTAAAGTCAAGCCTCTTCATGCCTCCTTTTTTTATTGAAATGTTCCACATCATTTCTATCCATTCTGCCCTCAGAGGCCATGCTGGGATGTACTCAAGAGGAAATAGGTATGGCAGGTTGCTGTGCAGTGTGATTTTACAATTAATAATGCCTGCGTTTGTTTTTTTGTGTGCACCATCCTGTCATTATAAGAGCTCTGTGGTGGATGATGAAGACAAAATGTTGACTGTTTTGTTAGCATGCATGAATCCTGTTGTCACACTCACATAACTTTGTAACTGAAACATCTACCACATGTAGTGTATCTGTGTTGTAGAGAACATACAGTTTCACAAGCCGGCTGGTTTCGTTGCCGTTGAACCCTAATTGGATTCCCAGATTTGTAAAAGCTCAGTGCACTCACTCAGTGGCATGGAGCATCCAAAGGGCAGACACAGACCTATCTATACATAGTGTAGAAAAGGCCCCAAAGTCATAATTATTGATATATATATATATATATATATATTATTTTATTATACAGAGTTGATACCCGTTAAGTTGTGCCTTCATAGTGGGGAGGGGCTAACCCACGTGTTTTTGGGTGACGTCACACATCGGAGGGTAATGTGCGTCAGTAGTTGCAGGAAAGTTAAAGTTATGCCGTCTTAAGTTTCGTATTGTGTGCGTAAATGAACGAAAAACCACACACACAAATATCTTTGTCTGCCTAAATCAGTAAAGAAGTCGAGCCTCATCGTAGCTCCTCATTTCCTCTATTCTGGACCTTTGGCCTTAAGTGGTGTTCTGGCCGACACACCTGGGTGAACCTAGTGATAGACACACAACTAGTGCCAACACTGTCTCTCTAATCCTCCACTACACATAGAGTTAGAATAAATGCATAATACCACATAATACGTTTAAATGCAGGTACCCTCTCAGGTAAAAGCTTTAGTTTGCACTGCAGAGGTTAAGGTATCACTTTGCCAGTCATCGAGGTCGATCGCAGTGTGCTTTTTCTTTTTGATGTGTGATGTTTTTGCTGTACATATAACTTGACAGCTTTGGCTGGGCTCGAACCTCCCACCTGTGCTGTGCTGTGCGTGTGTGTTTGTTTAAGGGAATTTCACAGTACTGTGGAAAGAATCTGCAAACCTCACATTTAGAAGAGGTTTAGTTTGAATCCATCTCTGCAGCAGTGAGATGAGGTGCTGTCAGTTTGTTTAGGACCTTTTTGTCCTCCTCCTCCTCTTTTTCCACTGACATCATCCCTCCACCTCTATATCCCCTTTCTCCTCTTCTCTCCCCTTCCCCTTCTCCACCCCAGACCAGAGAGAAAAGGAGCGCGACAACCGTCTGCAGGAGATCCGGCAGCAGAGGGAAGAGCGAGGGCAGAAAGGCCGTCCAGGCGTGGGAGCAGGAGAGGTGGGGATGAGGAAGGTGGAGAAGTCCGCCGACGGCTCCAGCCTCAGCCAAGTCACCAAGACAGACCGCTTCGCTTCGTCTGGTCGGTCTCTCTTTTATTTTGTGAAATAGATGGACAACAAATGATAAGGATCATCTTTGTCCGATGTGTTTATAATTAAAAAAAATGGTCCTTTTTTAGATGATGGAAGCAGATCATCACGCAGCACTGTTGTTGAGTCCAGTTATCTGCAGAAAACAGATAGTAAGTCATTTCTTTATTATCATATTTTATAGTCATTACAGTCATATTGTCAATATTATTCACATGCCTGTGTTCATTTATCTCAGGAGGGACACTCCAGTCAAAGTCATACAGCTTCAGCTCTTCCACATCATCTTCCTCCTCCAACACAAGCAAAAAAGTGGGCAGGTAAGTTAAGAAACATCACCACAGTATCTAATCAACGCCTACAGTTTCACCAGTTGACTTACTGTACGTGTCCCTGCCTCAGTGTGTTTGACCGCGAGGATGATACATCGTCTCGCAGCGGCAGCAGTGGATTGGCCGCGGTTGAGCGACTGCAGGCGGAGCGGCGCAAGGAGCTGATGAGGGCTCAGTCTCTGCCCAAGACCTCGGCCATGACGGCCCGCAAAGCCATGATCGAGAAGCTGGAGAAGGAGGGAGGCGGGTAAGAACAAACGGAGAGGAATTACTACCCAAGACAGGTAGCAGATCAAAGCATGTAAATATCAACACAAACCTGACTTTTCTTTTAGCCCTGGAAATCAGGCGGTCGCCAAGGTAAACAAGGTCCAGCGCTCCACCAGCTTTGGTGTTCCCAACGCAAACTCCATCAAGCAGATGCTGCTAGACTGGTGCCGTGCCAAGACCCGCTCGTATGAGGTGAGCTCCAGCCCGACAACACAGTGTAGGGCTCATCTTTAACGTCAGCCAGTGGAGCTAAACCTGAAGATTAAGACAAGATGGGCTGAGATAATATTTTCCTTCTATAGGAATGTTTCCATCACTTACCTGGGACTGCCTCCAAATGTAATCAGAATACCTTTATTCGTCCAACAGAGAGGACATTTACATTTGTGACAGCGAAAAAGAGCCAAAGAAAGCCTAATGTTAACTAAGAAGCATGCATAAAAAAAATATTAAAGATTAAAAAAAAGTTACACAATTTACAAAATGTACATCCTAATCTGTCTGTCTCCTCCCTCAGCATGTGGATATTCAGAACTTTTCATCCAGCTGGAGTAACGGCATGGCATTTTGTGCCCTGGTGCACAATTTTTTTCCCTGAATCCTTTGAATACGAGTCCCTGAGCCCGAGCAACCGCAGGCAAAACTTTGAGGTGGCCTTCAACACAGCAGAGTGAGTACACACACACAACTGTTTCCCATAGGCTGTATATAAAGATACACATACGGTCTATGATTTGTCCGCTAACCACATCAGTTCTGTTGTTGTTGTTAAGCTCTGACTGAAAGTGTGACGGTCCACCGACTATGTTGGAGAAACCACAACACGGCAGTGAAGCTTTTTGTTAATCATGGTGGAGAAAATGTGAAGAAAATGAGGAGAAACCAGAAGAAGAATCTTTGCTCTAAACTTCAGAGTCTAAAGCATAAAGACATACACTTTAATCTTCAATCCAAGCTTGTGAATGCACATTGAAAAAAAATTCAAAACGACACATTTCCCTTTCTTTGTATCATACACACATCCTTCTCTCATTCCTCTGTAACATCCACTTGTATTCAGTATTGCTATATACCAACTTCTACTTGACCCTGAAGTTCAGAGACGGACCCAAAACGCGTGAAACTCCTCGACTGATGTCCCGATGTTAACTCCCCTGTCTCTCCCAGGTGTATCAAACTACCTCAAGGCTCTAATAACTCCACCTTTAAACCACCACTCCCCACCTGTCCTCTACTATGATAACTGCTGCTCTAACCCAGAGACCCATGAGCAAACCCACCCAAACCACCACCAGGTTAACAAATACGGACGAGCTCCCGCCTATTACCTCCACATCTCCCCTCCTTTTTATTCCTAATACCTCTCTTATCCTCTCTCTTTCAAAGCCCCTCACCCACCTGTGTGTGCGTGTTTGCTCACATGCTCTCAGCAGTTTAATGTCCATGTTGATGTTATTCACGATCTCGACACCGGACTGTCACCCAACCACAGCCCCCGTCTTTCCACCTTTGTGTTGCACCCCCACCCACTTCCCCAGGCACTGCTGACCCTCCAGTAGTTTGCTGTTATCTGAAATCCCAACACACACACACACACTCCTGTGCACCAGTATGTTGTTTTTTAGAGTCACCATATGATTTTGTCTTTGTGTTTTTCATCTGCAGAACCCTTGTTGTTTTTTTCACCGTGTCTTGTGTTCTCTGAGAGATCGCAGCCATGCTAAAATGGTCAAAAGTTGCACAGAAAAAAACAACAAGAAGCAAAAAGGCTAAATGAGCATCACCTGCCGCTCATTTGACGTTTTGTTTGCAAGTGTGTTTGTTTGCCACATACTGTACGTATCGAGATGTTCATGAAGCATGTCAACTCATGGATATATTTGTGAACACAGAGAATGTAATGGTATTGTTTCTTTTTGTGTCATTTCTCTCTCCCTCTGTCTCCTCACCCTGGATCTTCTTCGTTTGGCTGCTCACCGCTTAATCTGTTGTCCTCCTCCTTCCTCTCTTTCCCACACTTTGTCCCGTTTCTTCTTCTTATCTGTATCTTCTCCCTTCTCCTCCTCCTATCTGTTTGGTTCTTCCTTTCCTTCCTGTCTCCCCCCCCTCCCCCTGCTGGGTGTGGGCACAGGAAAATGGTGGACTGCCCTCAGCTGTTGGATGTGGACGACATGGTGAAGATGCGCGAGCCGGATTGGAAGTGTGTGTATACGTACCTGCAGGAGTTCTACAGGGGGCTGGTGACCAAGGGCCTGGTTAAAACCAAAAACTCCTCCTAGAGTCGCACCTCAACTAAAACTGAACCCATGGTGAGAGAGGGGGCGAACCTACAGAGGAACCACACTCTGGTTCTGAGGTGTGTGTGTGTGTGTGTGTGTGTGTGTGTGTGTGTGTGTGTGTGTGTGTGTGTGTGTGTGTGTGTAGTGTGTGGTGTGTGTGTGTGTGTGTGGTGTGTGTGTGTGTGGTGTGTGGTGTGTGTGTGTGTGTGTGTGTGTGTGTTGTGTGTGTGTGTGTGTGTGTGTGTGTGTGTGTGTGTGTGTGTGTGTTGTGTGGTTGTGTGTGTGTGTGTGTGTGTGGTGTGTGTGTGTGTGTGTGTGTGTGTCTGGTGTGTGTGTTGTTGTGTGTGTGTGTGTGTGTGTGTGTGTGTGTGTGTGTGTGTGTGGGTGTGTGGCTGTGTGTTGTGTTGTGTGCTGTGTGGTGTGAAAAAGTGCTTCAGAAAACTCCTTATTGGCCCGCTTTTGGCAAATATGATCCCTCATGTTAATCTGAAGCTACTGAAGTACGAAGAGTACGTGTGTGGTCCATGTGTGCATTTCTGAATAGTCAGACTATGGCCCAGGCGGAGAGAGCCAGGACCATCCTGCAACACTTTAAAAGGAACTGCTGTTTCACAAAGCTTCAAACAAAGAGGTGAGAAACAAAGCAGGCTGTGTTGTCTGCTGACCCTTTGATCATGTGTGGAATTTACAGGTGTTTATGCTTGTTAAGCCCTTTTTAAAATCGTAAAGTGCAGAAGACCCCATGTCTGCAGTCCTTAAATAACAAAACCAAGTTTATGTTGTTGACATTTATTTCTCATGCGTGGCCGCTCCTGTTACTCAGGATGTCTGGAGGGTTTACAGAACGTGGAGATATAAACGCCACCCTGTGGTCACTCACACGAGGAACCTTCGTTTCTAAAACTGTTTCTCGAAAGTTTATCGAGAGCTTTTAAAGGGTTTTCCACACATTGCTTTAAGAAGAACGGAGACAAACAGGATGTAAAAGAAAAGTAAAACATAACCACGACAAGGAAAGGCCAAGGAGTTCATCAGCGATTTCTTTTCAAATGTAGCGGTTAACATATTTGGGTTATGAATCAATTTAAAGCACCTGACATAATGATTACATATGAATAATAATGAGCGATCATCCGATCCTCCACATCCTGTCTGTCCCCTCTTCTTTCTCACTGTCTCTTGTATGCTGTTCCTCAGGACGTACGCCAACTGCATGCCTCTGCTGGAGGTGGAGGACATGATGATCATGGGTAATAAACCCGACTCTAAGTGTGTCTTCACCTACGTCCAGTCTCTGGTCAACCACCTGCGCAGATACGAGATGTCCATGGGTCGGCCCTGTCCCCTCTGACCTCTGACCTGAGGGTGAAGCCTGGACGTGGCATCATGGACAAGTTGGGGATTGTGTGTGCGTGTGTGTGGTGGTGTGTGTGTGTGTGTGTGTGTGTGTGTGTGTTTGTGGTTCGTTTGCGTATTATCTTTGTTGGCAGTGGTGATGTGTTTTCATTATTTCATTAACACAAAGTCCGTCTTTTTACAGCAGAGGGCGGCAAAGTTTTTTATAAGACTACCTTTCAAAGCTTTAAAAATGTAATATTTTTTTACTCTGCTTTGTACTGGGAACATTTTAACATGCAGAAGCCGTGTTACCACGCTAGTGTACTACAAAAGAGAAATCTTTGTATAGTATTTCCCCTTTAAGTTATTTTTTACTATATCTCTGCCATACTTTTGTAATTATAAACCTTGTTGGCATGCTGTAGGTAGTTCCACAAGAAGAAAATATACCGTTCCGTTATTTGGTTTTTATCTCGGGTACTTTTGAATTGTTAAGACACTCTGGCTGCTGAAGTATTTGAATTAAGTTATTACGATTCTGATGTTGATGTAACAGTTAGCATATTACTATTTAATTACAGAGGCACAGGGAAGTCCTTCATTGTTCAAATGGATGCAGCGAGTAAATCTCACCTTTCTGAATTTTAAAGTGCTACTGAGAACATATTTAACACTATTTGAACTTTTAAAAGTCACCTGTATAATATTATTCTAACAGTGAGTATATTTGCGGTCAAACCAGTTTTTTTTATTCAGGGTATATAGAAAAAAGAGGAGTGGGCTGAGGTCATTCGGATGACTTGTATAATGACTTGATTTGTTTGTATTGATGGGCATATTTAGAAAAACAAAAATGTGTACAGCAGTGCTGCCTCACCCCAGCATCACTGACGTACTGCCACACACTCACACACTGCTCTTTTAGAGGGCTTCTTATTTATGCTTGAGTAGATTTTGTTGAAATATATTATTTTATTTGTTTGGTGTGTA